TGGGGGGCGGCCCTCCGTGTCCTGGGGAAAAGGCAGAGCCCGAGGGGCGGCCCGTGCTCGGAGCACAGCGGGGACAAGGCTCCGCAAGCACAGCAGGACCCCACGTCCCCGAGCGAGGGCGGGGAGGGGGGAGAGCACCATCACCTTCCTTCGCCATCCCTATTGCTTCAAACTTTCAGCATGTCTCCTCAGCCTTTCCCTGCGTGCTCCTGCGGTTTTCACCCAGTTGTGCTCCCCACCACTCATTTCACTGACATCTCTTCCTTAGCAAGTGGTCCTGCTTTTCCCCCTAGCAGCAGGCCAGCTGGCAGAGGGGCCAATGCCCTGGACACTCCTGGGGACAGCGCGCAGGAAGATGCCTCTTTGGCACGGACTTAGAACGCTTTCATGGTGCTTTGGGGCCAAGACCCGTCAGAAAATGAAGGCATTGTAAGGCACTGCGCTGCCCTGCTCAGAGTGCAGAGCGGCTCTTTGGCTGCTATCTCTGCGCGGAATCAGGGCCATGTGCTGCAGCTTCCTGCCCTGAGTCACAGGGGAGGGTTTCTCCCACTGGAGACCAAGCAGCTGCAGATGAGACCATGAGGGACCGAAGGCAGCATTTGCATTTAATGACAAATAAATAAATAAATAGGCAAAAACAAACAAACAAACAATAAATAAATAAATAAACAAGAAGTTCGGACACTTTGTTCAGAAGTTGTGGATAATTGCTGCACTTCATCGGGATGTGAATGCCCTGGAGCAGCAAACCAAGTACACACTAAAAAAAAAAAAAAAAAAAAAACCTCCACAGAAACCCTCAAAAATCATACCGAGACCAGCACTGCTGAGCATTTCCTGGCACAAAAAGGATATGATTTACAGACCGAAGCAATGATGTCATTGCCAAAGAGACCAGCAAGGCTAGAAGGTCTTTTGACTAGCTGATGTGGCACCTCGGCCTGGCAAGTAGAGCTTCGCTGGACTCACGCCTCCTGCTCACTGGGATCCGTCTTGAACCCTACAGTGCTCTCAATCTTGGGTTTATTCTTGGGTTTAGGTCAGTGGGGCTCAGCAGATAGTCGAGACAGAGCTTATGGCTCCAATACTCTCCTTTAAGGCCCCAAAAGTGTTTGCAGAGCCCTTAGGTAGCTCCAGGGGCCACTTGGCTCTTTGTCACTTTGGGTTTATTAAGGGGCCTCCTTGTTTATACTGATTGCACAGTTCATTCCTTTCAGAAATGGGCTTGAAGCGAGAGGTTTTGGAAAATCCTGGGGTGTCCAGGGTGATGCACTCATAGCTAGTGCTGGGGCAGCAGAGCTGATGGAGCCCAAGGAATGATGGGCTGCAAGTCTCAACAGGTAAGAGGGAAGTCAAGGGAGGAGGTTGCTTAGATCTACCTATCAGAGGACAAAGCTGTAGAGGAAATGCTTCCAGAAGAAAGGCCAGAGGCTGCGTGTCCATCTTACCTTGAGCTTCAGGCTGGGTTGGTTTGCTGCCCCTTCCCAGCACGTTGTGCTAGGCTGACAGAGATGAACAAGGCATTGCAGACACACGAAGAGAGGCAGCTGCAGTCAGGTCAGGGTGCTGTATGGGCCCCTCTCTGCCTCCCTGCCTCCTTTCCACATTTTGTGGTCAGAGCCTGCAGGAGTCCTGAGACTGTGGAGGTTCCCTCCTCACCGCTCACCAGGAGGATTCCCGTGCTCGTGTACCAAGACACAGAGAAAAGGTTTTTTTCTGGAGGACTGAACATTTGTTTCCCTTTTCTGCCTGCAGCTTTTCTTTAGTCCTGCTCTTAAAAATGGACATTTATGAAAATAAATAAATAAAGCTCCATACTTCTGGACAGAAAATTGAAATCCAACCTCTTGGCATCACAGCTCATTGAAGAATACAAAGAAGAGACAGGGACAGAAGTTGGGCGGCTGCCAAAGTTGACTTTTCCTCTGCTTCCCCCTTCTCCTTCCAGATGGTCCCTCCTGAATCGGCCCAGTGGTCACCAGCTCTGGACATGTCTGACGCTGAGGCCTTCACCCATCCTAACAGGCTCCAACCTGCAGACTAGTAGACTGTGCCTCAAGGTGCCACCTGGAAAGGTCACCTTGCTTTGGAGGGTGCTGGGTGGCCAGGACCTGATCAAAAATCCATGTGGCATAAAGGAGGGGATGCTGGCCCTCTTTAATTTACTACTGTAGCTATAACCAGTAACATCTGCTAAGGCCAAGCACACTCCTCTTGCAATTCCCAGCTGAGACATGCAGCCGTGGTGGGCTCATGCTACCACCGCTCACCAGAGATGGCCAAGGCAGTGGGAAGAGCCCCAGGGATGAACACTCTTGCCTAGAAAGCTCCAGACGATCAGTCTTGTCAGCGGGAAGTGGCCACCCTCAAGATAACTTAGGCCCCAGGCCACCAGCTGAAGCACTGACATCGGAGTCCTTCTCCACGCTGCTCTCGGCAGGTATGTTCTGCTCCAGCCCTGTCCTCGTGGGGGATATCCTGCCAAGGTGGAGAAGCAAAGCCAGGAACAAGCAGCCGTTGTGGGAGCTGCAACCTCCCCAGGGCTCGGCAGGCAGAGGTGGCTCCTGCGGGGACCTCCCATGCCCTGAGTCACCCCTGGCAGAGGCAGCAGCCCTGGTCCCTGCTGGGGCCGCCGCTCTGCAGGGAACTCGTTGCCCGAGGCCGGCCCGCTCCCTGCCCCGCACCGCGCAGGCTTTGGGCTCTCAGCGACACTGCTGTGTGGGACACAGGAGCTGCAGAGCTGTTTCTAGATGGAGCTGACCACAGGGAACACAACCGTTCCCTTTTCCTCCAGCACGGTAGAAGTGATGTCCCAGGACACCATCAAGGAGAAATACTGGCGGATGTAGCAAGAACTGGGCTGCCAGGGGGAATGGGCTGGTGTCTCCATAGCGCTGCCTCCCACCAGGCAGTGGCTGCAGGGCAGGAAGGATGAAGGCTACGTGCAAGTACCAGCACCCGGTGGTAGGACCTGGTTGGGGAGCAGGACACCAAGCAATAGCAAATACAGGGCACAACATTGGTTGTTAGCCTCTGCCGTTCAGCACTGGAGTTTGGAGGTGTCTCTTGCCACGTGCGCGTGCCCCATGTGCTGCCCCTCTGTGCAGGAAACAAGCTGCCTCCGGACATGGTGACGCATAACCACCATGATTTGATCACCCCAAGGAAGGAACTGGGTTCTTCGCCTGGGTCCCTCACACGCGTCTCTGCATTACCCTTGCTCTTCCCGTCTGATGCCCTTCCTGTTCCACAGATTGCGGTGTCAGAAGGTGTCACACTAAAAATACCACCAGTTAGAGGCTGGTGCACACACCTTGGCATGTGGACAGCTGTCTCCTGAGCCTGCTCTGTGCCTCACTAAAGGCAGAACAGAGAGAAATTAAGCCCAAACCTGCTCAGATAATTCGCATTTGGGCACAGAGCAGTTCTGGAGTTTCTCTCAACCTCTGCTACTTTTCAGCAGCCACAGAAACGATGGATCCCAGAGCTAAACAACTGCACTGCTTGCAGCCAGATGCATATTTATATCTGCATGTACATGTATTGCTCCATCAGATACGTGAGCGACCAGGAGTGCCACGTTCACAGAATGGCATGGAAGTGTGATGATCAATGAAAGACCAGAGAGGACCATCCATGAAGAACCAAAGAGCCAAATGTGGACCTAGAAATGTCCAAGGTTTCACACAGGGAAGGAACAATTAAGCAAGGTCCTACGTAAGTGCTGGTGTAGGAAATAACGTTGCAAGAGAACCATAGATGCAGAAAATTTCAACAGGAGGAGAGTGATTTAATCAATTCATGTTGACCCTCTCCTACCCAAAGGGTCATAGGCTCCAAGGAGCCGGTGTCCAAAAGGTCTTGGTGCTTTTCAGGCAACAAGATGTACATACCCAATCTGTCTGGCTGGGATTCTTTGCCATGACATGGAGTGAAAGAGGGGCTGTCTAACAGTTCTCGACTCCTTAAGTTGGTGACCACATGCTGGTTTTTGAACAAACCCTATTTTCTCCCCAGCAGGGATTGATGGTTCCATCCTGTCCCACCTCTGCAAGTCACCAGAATTACTCACAGTGCTCCATCCCTTACCCTATGCATCCTGAGAAGCGGCAGGGATCTTGGTGAACTGCTGATTTTGATGCTAACAAGACCTGTCATAGTAGAGCCCTTTTCCTGCTCCTTGTTCCTACTGGTGACTCCAGCCATTCGTGTCTAACCACAATCTTAACATTTCCATTACGGACTTGCTCAGTGGGGTGATGCCTCTTGCAAAGTGTGCAGAGCTGAGCTGGCCTTGGAGGAACTACTGAGCATCCCCTGCTCTGCAAAGCACAGCAGAAAACCTGGAGAGAAGAGCAGCTACGTCCAAGCAGAGACCAGACAGAGAACTGCAGCCAGCAGAAGTTCTCTCTCAGAGCCAGCTGAGTGTCCTGGTGGTGGGTCACTATCTTTGGCTGTTTGAGCTTGCTAGTGGTATGTGTGTAGTGGGGAGGCAGCCTCCCACCACCCACCCCTGGCAAATGGCTGGGAAGACAACACCATTTAAGATAAGGATGCAAATGGTCTGTGCAGGGGGAACTCAACCAGCTGCATGGAGACCTGGAGGGCATTCAGGAGGAAAAGGTCCATCAGCTTGATTAAATAGCTACCCCGGGAGCTTCAAAGAAACTTGTGAGGTAAAGCAGTCAGCCTGGAACTAACGAGATAGCGGGACAAGGCGGGGAGAGGCCTTGGAGTAGAAGGGGATCAGCAAAAACCTGGTCTGACGCTGCCAGTTGCCCCTTGGAGGGAAAATGTGCGTTGGTCAATGGTAACATGGAGCAAGAGAGATGCAGCTGCTAGGAGCATCTTTTGAGCCCGAGAGGTTAGACAGTGAGATCCAGGCAGGTTTTTCCTGGAAGCTGAAGCCCCTCTGTCACTTCCAGTTGTTTGCCATGCAAAGGGTCGTAGAGCCACAGAAACCTTCTCCAAGGCTCCCTGTTCCTTTAGCAAGGGAAACTGGGGACACCCCCCACCCCTGAACTGCACCAGTGCTGCAGTGCCTCTTCTGCAGACTTGCCTCACCGCTGGCAATCCTAGGGGCAGCGCGTGCTGGCCCCAAGGCGTCAGACGCCCGGGTAGTGATGGGCAAGCGCTTGTCCAGAGGAGCAGCCCTTTCCCTGAAGGGCCACACGATGCTGGTTGCAGTCTCTGTCTACAACCTCCAGTTCCAGGGGAAGGAATTCCGTCCCCAGGAGTGGCTGTCCCACTCCTCTCCTTGGGCATCTCTGTGACACTGGGAAACCAGTTTCAGGTCACCAGAGCAGAAGGGAGTCTGTGTCTCACCTCTTACCCCACTATAGAAGAGGGTCCTGCAAAGGAGGTGGTGAGGAGAAGGCAGGGTGTGACTCTGTAGGTGCCCTGGAATAACGTACAGAGCACTCAGACGATGCAATTTCAGTGTCATGGATCTTCTCAGCAGTTCTGAAAACCATCTCAAGAGGTAGAGAGCAGCAGCTCAGCTTTATTGCAGCAAGCCCCACACCAGGCTCTCCTCCCCAAGGGTAACACTGACTGCCAGTTGACCAAAATATAGTCACCCAAGACCAACTTGCACTGTAGGTCCTGCCTTTTTTTTTTTAATTTTACAACACACAAATACATCATTTTACAATGTGGTAAAAAAAAAAAGAGAAAAAAAAAAAGGGACTTAACAAAAGTCTCTTGGAAGAGAAACTCCGTTATACACATTTCAGGAGACTCCCCAGTTCCTCGGAGCGACCCTTACGGCTTGCTTACACCCTGCCTGGCGACTGTAAGGGCAGGTTATTTCCAGGTAGAGCTGAGCAGATGCCCTGCTCCCTGCTGCACGAAGACGGCAGCTCAACGGGGCTCTACTGGGCAGGCACAACCACGTGGGGAAGCAGGGGAGCTGCCTTCTGGCTTCGCTCGGCAGACATGTGCTCCAAACGCTCTGTGTAGAATCCATTGAAGTCCAACCTGAGAGAGAAAAGAACAAAAGAAAGGACTAAGCAGCTCGTTCAGAGAGAGGCTGGGACATTTGTATCACGCCACACGTGTTGTGGGCATCTTTTCTACACTCGCCCCTTGAGGGCTGCACTGTCAGGAGGAGTGGGGTTCCCTCAGCACCACTCCGTGTCTCTGCTAGCATCCAGCTTGGACCCCCAGCAAAATTTTATGTCATAGTTGTACAAAACACAGCTGAACAGATCAGTTACTACTAGCTTCTTCTCAAAGGCCACAGCTTGACAATACAACTCTGAAGATGGTTACCTCAAGGACAATGAAGAGAGGCCCAGGTACATTCAGATGCACAAGTGGACAAGATTGGCAGTATCACACTCTTGCCTTCTCCACAATCCAAAAAAAGCCTCTCAGACTCCATAAAAACGCCAAGTTCTAGTAGTGTTGTGGCCTTCCTTAGGCAGATTTCTGGACTACAGAGCCATCTAACCCGTGCAGTTCTTACCGAGAGGTACCCTGGGCACACTCAGCAACAGTAGATGCTAAGTCAGTGAATCACACAGAAGTTACTGTCTTCATTTCCCGAGTAAGCTGGTGGAGCACTGAACAAATGGGCACAATATTTGAGCTTCATGTTGCTTAACAACCTTGCAGAAACGGCAACAAATTGTTCCTTGACATTTTTTTTTTGCGGCCGCAGAAAACAGAGCCTCGACAGATGGAATTTATCTTTCGCTCTCTCCTGGCTGAAAAGCTTCCATCTCTTTTGTTCTGTAAATTTTGTACCACGAAAACCTGGCACCGAGGCAGACACAAATACTGATTTTTGATTCAAACTTTAGACTCATAACATTAAGACTCATTTACATCTTTGTTCTGAGGCTCTCTTCTACTTCTAAAGCTGCTTCATGCCAAATTGCTTGAATTCTCGATTTTGATTTGGCTCCCTTTCAACTTTCCTTTTAGGGTTAAACTATCATTATTAACTATCTCTTCAGAATCTGCATGGCGCTTCCTTCAAGCTTCCGCTCCTATTTCTTGCTTTCCTGACCTTTTATTCACTAGGTTTTGTATCACATTGCACACACTGGTCATTGGTCTTGCCTCAGACTGGTGAAGGAAGGATATCTGATAGACACTATCAGCACTTGCGTGCAACATTTCAAAGGATTTCGAAACCAAATCTGACATCACCATGCTGTAATTCTTCTCCTTTTCCCTGGTGCAACATGAAAAAGTGACTGTAGAATTTCTGCAATTGCAGAATCCCTTCAAAAGCCATTACTGCTTTTGATGAAAACAGGACACCTGAGCAGCACTTCCACATGCCAAAGATCTGTGAACTGTTCATCCCACGTTGCTTTGAAGGGAATCCCCTGGATCCCCCATTCTTCTGTTGCTTAGTTCTACAAATATGCTAGTTGTACCTCAGTCACTCAGTAACAATTCACCAGTACTGCAAACTGAATGAATATTAGCCAGGACTGAATAAATACAAGCACAGTTCCAGAATTACGACCAGCAGGTGCATTTTATCTGTTATTATGTTGAGACCATCCTCTTTGACATGCAATGATGTAAAAAGGTTAAGATATATAAGAAAACACTGGTATATGTCACACTCCTCTCTGTCTCTCTCTCAAAGGCGTGATTGCAGATGGGAAGTTTCCATCCTGTTTCTTGGGTTTCTGTTGCCATAGAGCCCAGGACTCGCTCCAATAATCTCTACAGACTGAACAAGAGCTAAATGTCAGGTCTGGGCATTGAGACTCTCACTTTTCAGAGCAGCCTGCAGAAATGGCAGCACACGTTCCCTCTGTGGCCTGTTATCACACAGAATTTCAGCTAAAGAAATGATACCTGCTCTGCTAGGAAAGGTTCAGCCATGGCCAGCATGTTGGTGAAGATCCTCATGGTCCTAGAAGGGCCAAGCTGAAGGACTTGAGAGTGATGATAGTCCTGACAGTACAAAGACTCAGACCTCTGCAGCCCTATAACAGAACCAGGACATGAAAATCCCTGGAGGCAAAGGATGGAGACTCTCTTTCCAACAGCTGCCTGCAACTTAAGTCACCATCCTCAGCATAAACTGCCAATGGAAGCATTTTCTTTTCTTGAGGGCTCGTGAATCACCACACTTCTCCTTTCTTCTGAAGCAGGAAGCATTTGATGCAAAAGCGAGCTCTCCATATTTGGAAGAACTGGCTCCACAGCCACCACAGCGCAGGAGTCTCGTCCCGCTCGAGCCAACGCTCCTGCTCCAAAACAGTCATTTCTGATGAATCCCTCACACGGGTCTCTCCTCCTGGATTACTTATGCTACATTCAGAATAAGATTACTCAGGACAAGTTTGTCTACACAGTGAGATAACCTCCAGGAAAACTCTCTTGGATTAGATTTACAACACCAATAGACGGATTTCACTTAATTCATACAGATGTGTGTGTATATAGATATATACATATATTTTCTTCAATGAAATGCAAAACTTCTTGCTGTTTGTGTGCGTTCACTGACGGCGCAGACACGCACTGTTACCAAACAGCAATCGTTTCTCCTGAGCTGAGCAACAGAGGAGAGGAAATTATGAGGAAGAAATTACTGGCTCACCTGTAGATGATGTTGAGCATGCTGTGCTCACAGTCATTGGTGCTGTAAACACTCAGTTTGTCCAGCAGGTCCAGGAGATGTGTTGAGAAATTGCTGTCGAACTTGTTGACCGTCGCCTCAAAGCCAGAGGTCAGGTGCAGGCTGTCGGCATGCTCTGCTAAAAGCTGTCAAGAAAAAGCAGGAGTGGTCCCACGTGCCTGCTGATTCACACTGCACACCTCAAAATGCACCTCAAACTTCAAAATGAGAGCAGTGACTCCTCTGGAGGAGGAGGTCTTGAAGGCAGCCTTTTAAGAGCAGCCTCAGTGCTCTGAACTACCACCAGGAATGGTCCACAACTCTGCCAAGACACTCGTTTTGGGGGCAGAGGTAACCTGGACTCCCAAGAGGCAAGAGAGCCATGCCAAGCAGCCTGAAACCCCGAGCAGCATTCAGAAAAGAAAGGCCTCAACTGCCCATGTTGTCCAACCTTGTTAGTCAGCTTCTTCTTGGCAGCCTCTTCGGCCCGCTCCTCCTCTGTTGGCGGACCCAGCATCGTGCCGTGCTCTAAGGTGAGTCGGTCCATCTCGTTGTCCAGCTTCATGCTCTGCGTGAACCTCTAGGAAAGCCAGTGGGTTGGAACAACAGTGAGAGCCTGTTTTTTGTCATGATGACAAGGAACGAGACTGACTTGATTCTTCTGGCCATGCAATGAGCTAAGCTCCATGAAAGTTAGTTCTGAGATTAGACTTAAAAGGTTAATAGATCAAGCTCACTTAACTTTACAGTATATTTAGCTACAGGCTCCCCAGGATGCAGGAATCAGTCTCCATGGGTCCTATCAGTCCCCACAAAATTATGCCAAAAACTGAAGAGCAACTTACACCTTACACCTCAAATGCTGCTGCAGGACTGGCTAGAGTTCATCTGAACCTGAGCTCAACACTGACAGAGCAGAGCCTAGAAGAGGGAGAAGCCCCATGAAACCCTTTGGGAAAGGGTGTGGATATGATTTCGTAATTCCAGCTGGCTGAAAGAACAGAGGCTCCTCCTGGTGTATGGGGGACAAGAGGTGTCACACGGAAAGAAGGGACAGTCATGGCTGGCTGGCAAGCAGAGTGGCACTGGAGCAGGATGCACGGGGACACCCCCCATACCTGCATGCAGTTTGTGAACATGACGCAGACGGACATGAGCTTGGAAAAGATCTTCAGCAGCTCCGGGTTGGTCAGCATGCAGTCCTTGAGGCAGTTATCCAGGAAGCTCGTGTGGTGGCTCAAGACGTCGTCAATATTAGAAGCCTGTTACAGGAGAGAATTTTGAATAATAAAAATGGACACGCAGAGGCTGCTGTACTGCACTGAACCAAAGCTCTAACCCAGTATTTGAGCCAGGAGATGCACCAGGGCATGCAGAGATGGTTCTTAAACACCTCCCAGCAACCTTCTGACCTGAATTCAAGAGACCTCCATGGGCTTTTCATCTTTGATTTGCCATGACCCCTCTTCAACCAAATTACTTCCAATGCCCAAACTTCCCACTGGCAATGAGGCTCAGAATGGAGTTACCTCTTTCATGATCCTTTCAGTTTAAATCTCCCCATCAGGCCCTCTTCCTGAAGCTCACCTACTATCACCTTTTGATCTCAGTAAAGTCAGGTACCATGAACAGCAAAGAGGAAATGAAATCAAAGAACCTGAAAGGTCATTAAGTTACAGGGCTTAAAATACGCAGGTGAAAAAAAAAATGAGGAAATGTTACTTCTGAAGCATCCTGTAAAATTTTAGTCCATCTCTTAAGTCAATGGAGTGTTTCAGTCTTAAGTTTTAAACAAGGTTAGATAAAAAAAAAAAATCCCACTCCATAATTTTGTGGAATGTGCCAAGGTTGGGGAAGAGCCATGGGACTAAAATTCCCAAGGTACCTGCCCAGCTTCATCAGGACTAGTGATAAAACAACAGGAAAAAAAAAACTCCATGGTTTCCAAACAACTAGTAGAGAACAGGGTTAAACGTTGCTCTCTGATGTGATGAAGGTACCAGTTCCATTGATGAAGACAAATATGTTGTGGAGATGAAGATATTAGTTGCATTTTTAGGCAGAGGGCAGCACAGCTTCAAGTGAAAGTTAACACGAAAGACCTCTGACAAAGAAAAAGGTGGCATAAGGCGTTTCATCAGACTGGTAAGGATCATCCTTTCCTCTCCTAAAATGCAGATGAGTGGAAAAAACTATCACAGGCTGCTGCTTCAGGAGGTTAAAGAGCCAATTCTGCTCGCTCTACTTGTAAAGGAACGTTGCTTTTATTTAAATTGAGATTTTAGCTAGAAACTGTGGATTTCTCATCCCTGGTGAGCAGTTTTAAAGGACTGTGCAAAATAAAAAGTGACTGCTGAAATGGACAGCTGACTTAGCTGGCAGCACAGAGATGTTCACTTCACGGGTGCCTGTATCCCAGCATTGCCTGTGGTTTGACTTCTCCTGTCACAGCTCTGCTAGAGGACATGCTCCAGGCCCTGCCTTCCCAGAGGTTTAAGAGCCCTGAGGGATGTTGAGGATGCTGGGAAGCAAATGCACATTTGCAGCACGGCTTGAAGAGCTTTGCTCACTTGCAAAAACTAACTCTGCTTCAAGTGATAACCTGTATTGCATATTTATACTACGGGTAGCTTAATTCGGTGCTAAAATATTATTATTTGCATGCATCCAGCAATGACACAAATGCTTTCCCAAAGACAGCAGCAACCCTCAGGGCTTCAGAAATGAAGACGTGCCTGGTGAAGGCAGCACGTCCAACAAAACGTTTGAAGTGACCTGCAATAACTGAAATCGGGAATTTTTCCTATGTTAAATTTGGTAACTTAAGACTTAGCTCTCACCGCACACTCACCAATTTCAGGTTCTTCTCAAGAATGTGCCACGTTGGCTCCATCACTTCGAACATCATGTAATACTGGATGTTCTGGACAAAATTCAGCATCCGCTGCCGCAGCGTGAAGGCCCCAGCAAACCTAGGGGAGATATTAGACCCACACAGATCAGGGACAGCAAATACCACTGAGGATGATGCCAGAGCTGGCCTGGCGAAGCCGTGCCCTCCTTCTCACTCTACAGCACCTGGAGTGCAAATCTAAAGATGAAAATCTACCCCCATAGGTGGAACAAGGTAATAAAGAGTTGTATGTTCTCTGTCTTCAGAAATATGTAACGATCTGTTTCACATAAAAACAACCCAATTCATGTTGCAATGTGTGTGTATATATATAGTCAATATATAACTAGGAAGAAGGAAAATCAGAAAATGAAGAGTGATCCACCAGGAAAAATGGCCATACCACTTAGCTGAATGCAGGGAGAATTGCTTGGCAGTCTTATTGCTGATCCACACATTGCACAACTGCCTTTCCACATGTTTGCAGTAGAACATGTGTCTGAAAAGCATCTGGTATCTTGTTAGTGCTTTCCTGAAAAGGAAGGAGAAAACCATTCAGATTCGGTCCGGCTCTGATGGCCAAGTGAAGCTGCAAAGATTGAGGCTGCTCAGAAGCAAAGTGTCTCTTTACAGTATGTTTCTTAGGTCTTCAGACACCCACAGTTCTGTATAATGCAAACCAAATTAAAACAAAATCACACCTGTAGCCATCTCAAAGAAAACATTCTCTCCAGGGAGTCCCCTCCTCCATATTCCTTGCTGCTGGCTCCATCACCAGCCTCCACCTCTGCTCCCCTGGGGCTTGCAGAAGGTCCCTCACACATGCCGGGATGAAGCACTGAGCCGGCACTCATGTACCTGCTGCGCTACGACCCCCAGGACTGCCCAAACAATTTACCAGGATTCTCCAAAAAGATAAAGCAAACCTGTAGCCAGGCTACAGGCAGCGTTATTCTGCCAGCAGCTCGCTGTCAGAAGCAGATGGGGAGCCTTATTTATAGCTGCAGGGACCGGATTCAGGCCTGCACTCAGACACCCCAGTGTAGGTGTCTCCAGAGCTCCAGTCGAGTCTGTGCAACCTCACCACAGAGAATTTTCACTACCACAGTCACCAGCAGAGCTAATACACCCATCTTGCAATGCAAAAAGAGACTTTCAACAGGAACAAGGCATGAGAGATACCTCGTGGTGACGTTTTTTTTCTTTTCTTTCCCCCTGGAAACAGGTTTGAAGCGCAGGCAAAACGCTCGTGTTTTGTTCTGCTCCCTTACCTGTTTATAATGAGAGACAGAGGCCACTTAACGATGTAGTCGAAGGAGAAGGCTTCGAGGCCGCTGAGCGTGAGCTCCGTGGGGTCCGCGCTGATGAGGGCCTTCTCCTGCTTGGTCTCGATGGCCAGCACGCGCAGCAGCTGTGTGATGAGGTCGTGGGGCATCAGGTCAATCTGCACAGAAGCCACGGGGTGGTGAATGGGACAGCGCCCATAAAAACGGGCACGTGCCAGAAGAGCTTGTCCCAGCTGCAAATCATGGGAGTCACTCCCAAGGCCCAAAACACACAGATTTTCCCAATGCATAGCAGGTTATCTGCTCAAATTCACTTATATTCTGCTTGCCCATACTCTTACCTTTAAATCATCCTTGAAAGGATCCGTGTTGGCCGTGCTCATTCGCAGGGCTAATTCAAGCAAAGCCTCTAGCCTGGTGGTTATGATGTCGTCTACGGGCTTCTTAAGTTCCTCTTCTGTGAGATCCATGAAGTGAACAAAAAAGTCCCCTTGATCCATCAGGAAATAGTGCTTTATAGATCTGCCCAAGAAAATTAAGAGACAATTCATTAAGTATTTAAAGAGCAAGTATTGCTGTTGGCTTTTTTCCTTTAAAAATGTACCTTAAGAAAGCACACTCTACACTGCTGCGCAAGGACCACACTCCTACCCAGAACAACAAGGCAGCTTTCAAAGAGCCAAGATCTACCCAAGACCAAGTTGCTAAGTCAGAGCAGGATCTTGGTCTCCTGTGAATGAACAAGTATCTACTGATTTTTGAAATATTCCAGGTATCCGTGTTGACTTTTGCTGCACACATTCACTTCAGTGGCCACTGCTGTTAAAACATGCAGCTCCCGACCACCACCACCTCTTGCAAGTCCCTTAGAAGCTCAGACCACTTTTTTCCCCACACTCTGTGTGACTGGTTTGAAGCCAAACCTCTAGCACCAGGTCACAGCCCTGTTTTGTTGCTTAGTCTTCTGGATACGTAGGTTCCCTTTTTATTGTTTTATGAAGATAAAACCAAATTCAAAGCTTGATTCACATAGGGAAATTGATGTCCTTTCCACCCAATATTTTTATAATTTTACACTATATTTCCCGGGGGAAAAAAAAATACCAGTAACAAATCTGATTATTTTTCAGGCCAACATTTCCAGCGGAAACAGAGAAAAAAGTCAACAATAATGTCCCACGGAAAGAAAGCTAACATTGAAATGTTATGCTCTCTATTAGCAGCTAATTATTAAACAGCAATTTAGTAAAATAACTCAAACCTTAAGTGAGCTACCAATTCCTTCTCCTCCATTAGGAAATCAAGGAGAACTTTGCTAGCATAGTTATATGCTTTTTCTATTTGTTCCACATATGCTCTCTCTTTTAAAGTATAGATGACCTCTTTAGCCACAGGGCAGGTAACATCACGTCCACATTCTCGCACAACATTTAAATATTTCCCTAGGAAAAAAAAGAAAGAACGAGTCAGGATGTGTTTGTTTATGGGATTCAAAACAGATTTTATCCCTTCTTTTTTCTGTTTTTTTTTTTTTTTTTTTTTTTTTTTTTTTTTTTTTTTTTTTTTTTTTGCTGTTCTTCTGAGAAGTTGCAGCCCTATAAAGTGCCAAGGCACAGTAACATTTACCAAGTCTTTCCATAAAGAGAGATAACACTTACTTTGGACTGTTTGTACATCATGAGTGTATCTTTACCTACCTGTGCTTAGGATTTTGTCAGCCATCTTCTGCAAGAATGAGGGAATCTGCTGCTGAACAACAGTATATCTTTGATCCCAGTACTTGTCATTATAGTCCTCCTGGATCTTCTCCTTCTGCAACTCATGTTCTTCCACCATGAACTCACTGAACGGTTAGAAAACAGGTTCAGAAGTAGAAATTTGGTACAATGAGGATTTTTTTTTTTCTTAAACCTGTCAATTGGTAACATGATCTATGAGAAATAAGGTCTCATGAAGAAACACTGCAGCCAGGAACTGAAATGAGCCTGTGTTTTAGTACAGGAAAAGCATTATTCAGGGTCTAGGCTAACCTGCCGATAGGGCCCCCCAGCCCAGCTGTCGGTGCCCAGGTGAGGAAACGGGTCCTTCTCTGCGTCCCCTCACCAGAAAGGAACCTTTGCTGGCTATGCTAACTTCAGCTCCCCCTCCCTGGCACAGGATTCTGAAAATGTGGGAAACGGACCCACATATTCTCTTTCACACAGGAAAATGCTTTACATAACACTATAAAAGCTAAGAAATTCCAGAGGTTGTTAGTTCCTATCGGATTATTCTGTGAGCAGATCACCTTCAGCATAGAGCCAGTGACTTAATGCACTCACGCTCCATGAGAAGAGGTCTCACCTGATGAGGACATTAGAGGGGAACAGGCATGGCAAGGTGGAATGTGAATGGATTATGTATTTGAACTGCCTTGTTCTTTGGCACATAATTTTCTTTAATTTGGACCTGTGCATGTGACAACATCTCTGAACTTACTGCCACTGAGTCAAACAAGAAATGCAGGCAAGTCTGTACCAACAGCTCCCCTTCCTGGCCATGCTGCCCCATCTACCCGCTGCTGCAGACTACACAGACTCCACAGAAGGTCATAGAATCACAGAATGCTTAAGATTGGAAGGGACCTCTAGAGATCATCTAGTCCAAACCCCTGCACACGCAGGGTCACCTAGAGCACGTGGCACAGGACTGCATCCAAGCACGTTTGGAAGATCTCCAGAGAAGGAGACTCCACAACCTCTCTTGGCAATCTGTTCCAGTGCTCTGTCACCCTCTGTTAAGAAATTTTTCCTTAAGTTCCTCTGGAACTTTTGATACTTCAGTTTCTGATACGTGCGTTAAAAAGCAAAAGCTAGAAACAAAACAAATTCTTAACTGTTCCTTACCTGTACGGATCATTAATGATGCCTCGATATATCCACTTCTCCAAAATTTCAAAATAAGGCACGCTGGCTGCCTTCGTTAAATACAGACACAGCTCCTGGGCCTGGCTGTCTCCAGTGTAATTGAAAGTCTTGTCATGGAGTAAGCTCAGGGTTGATCCTCCCATACACTCACCTTTATCCACAGAGGTGGCTAAAATTATAAAATAGATAAAATAAATATAAATAAATAAATATAGATGCATTTTCATGTTCTTCATTTAAAAGTATGGACTATTTGCACAGGCTATGGCAGGTGAAGGTAATGTAAAAGTTAGTGGCTGATTAGCTGAGCACTCTTAAGTCACCAACCCTGTAGTCAGATGTAGACCCCTGCTACAGAGAGACAACACTTTGATGGAGGTACAAAGTCACGCCACTACAGTGCAACACCCTGAAACAAAAACTTGGGTGATCCACACCATAAAAAAGCAACAGCAAAAATCAACCCTGCAGGTAAGCAGAATTAAACTCAGGTAGACACAATGTCCAAAGGCTCCCAGACTTTCCGTCTGGCTACCTCATGGACGGTTGTAGAGAAGAGGGATGGAGAGGATGACACTCCTCTACAGCAATTGCAGCACGTGGTTATGGAGATCTGGAGGATAACCTGTCTCTGAGGAAGACAACAGACAGAAGCAGATGCAACTGCTCCAATCTCCCCCTACTCTTCTGGCTGACGTGACAGCTACAAGGAAAGCAGCAAGGAAACAGCAATCTGAGCGACTACATGATAGTGAGCTGAAACAGCTGCCAAACAGATTTTCACATAGCTAGAGGGAAGGGTGAGTGATTCAGTTTGGAAAAGCATCCCAAAATAGCTGGAATCAAGACAATGGAAGAGACAGAAAATTGCTGAGACTGAGAAAAATCTATCAGTCTAGTGGACACCATCCAGATAACAGCAAGAACAATTCAGAACACAAGACAGAAAAGACTGGCCCATTACCAAAAATTATCTGTGGTCCAGAACAAAAACTGAGAATCCTGAGAGCACATTGAAGGACTTAGCCAGACTCTGAAGTCAAGAAATCCAGAAGAAGAGTCAGAATATTCGCATGCTGACCAGACAACTAAGCAGATCCCAGAATCGGTGTTGCCACAGACCAATGAGAGCAAACCCAAATCTCCAATGTGCTCCCTAAAACCTTAGGGGATTCTATGGAAAAAAGGGTTTGAAGAAGAAATATGCAGCAGAGGTTGGCTGGCCACCAGGCAACATGGGATCTGAAGGATACCAAGCTGCTGCCAGTCAGGATGAGAACCTGCAACACTTCTTAAACACAAACTGATGCATGTCCTGCACGTAAGAGCATTCCAAAGAGTTTGTAGAGCTCCTGTTGTGCAGTAACGACTGCATCTTCTGAACTTACCAAGCGAGGCAAGAATTTCTAAAGTCCTCATTGTGGGCTGGATATAAAACCAGAGCTTCTGCAGCGACAGAAGTCCTTGTCTCTGGAGATGTTCCAGCTGGGTAATAAGTATCATGTATTCCTTTGTTAGGGTCCGCATAGCTGCAGCCAAAGCATGATTTACCTGGCCATATTCAAAGGAAGACTTTTCCTCTATAAACCTGCAAAAGAAGAAAAAAAAAAAGGAATCTCCTTTGGGCAAAGCAATTTCTATAGCTTCCAGGAATTTTACCTTTAGCACGTTGTGTAAGAATTGAGAGTACAGTCATGTATTGGAAAGCATACCAGTGTTTGAATGGTGTGTGACCAGTACAGAGAAAAGCCAGAGCCAACATTTGCAAGGTGATTGCACATGCAATGTGTTAGAGCAGAGGAAAAGATCCCAAAAGGAAGCAGGGTGGTTGATCTCCAGCTGCTGGAGACCTGCTGCTGGTTTCTGACTCCACGTGCCACAGAGAGGACTCGCCTCCTCAAACTGAAATGGCTTTGCTTGCGTTAGCAGAAAGAGATACTGCTGAACACAGTTTATCTCATCTGCAGGAGCAGAGCTGAGACACTATACAAGTGTTTTTCTAAAAACATTTCTGTCTCTGCTCATCTTTCAGGGCATTTAGATCAGTTGCAGACATCTATACTATAAGCGCCTGTGAGGTGCAGTGTGTAGTGACCAGCAGACATAAAAGTTGTCTCTGTCCCAGACACCCAGAGGAAAGCAAAAAGCAGGAAACAAGAAAAAAAAAACAAGGCAGAACTGAAGAGACAAGCCAGAATAAACAGATTTTATTTGCCACATGCCTTTAATGTAGAGAGGTGAAGTGAATGCAAAGCTGAACTGGCAACAGGGAGGAGAAAGCCAGCAACAGGAATCATAACCATAACCACTTGGCAGAGCCATCATTTTTATCTGATCACCTGACAGATTTAAACTAATCTTGCAAGCTAACATCTGCACAGTGACAGATTCCCTAGGTCCATTTTACATCAAGAAAACATCCTCCTATGTGAAAAAAATGTCAGCTTGGTACCTGGTGACCGCAGAGTAACTTGCTGCCACAGGAAGAATCCTGGTCACCAGCTCTTTGATGGACAAGTCCAAGTTCGGGTCGACTAAAAATGCTCGGTTCTGCCTGCCTATGAGAGGCTGTGCTGTGATGTATCTTCCATCCACGCCAATCAAAACATACAACAGGTCCTCCACAATCACGGATTCTTGGGAGGCTAGTGGCAAAGTGCCTATTTGAAAAGAGAGGACCAAAAAAAAAAAGAAAAAGAGAGAATTTGAGCAATGTGCGCATGCCATGGCACTTACAATATATAGAAATAAACCTTGAGTTAGGCTCAACTTCAAAATCATCTGCCTCACTTTTTAGGACACTTTGGGATGCTAGAGAACTTGTAGTGCCACGGGACTTCTAGACAGACTCTAGGAAAAAATCTTCTCAGTTTCAGCCGCATAAAGTCAAAAGTTTTGAACAATACACTGTGAAACAAAAGCAACAAACGCACTCAAATATCCCCTGCAGCTACGAGAACCATTTGACAACAGGGAAATCCTCAGCCCTGCAGTCTGAATCAGGACACCAGATTAAAAACAGTAAAAATAAGCCAGATAATTCATGTGTGGAAAGGCTGTAATGGCCATTCCCAAACTCTGAGACACCAAATGATTCCCGCGTTGGCTAGAAACAAACCACTGTAAATAAGCTATTTAAGGGCACCTACAAGAGTACGCCTGCAGTTCTTAATTCCTCCCTTAGACACAGCCCAAATCCACGACCTGGTTTCCTCCAGGAGCCTCCCTTTTCTTGTGGCTCCTCCAGTAGGGTTTTATGAGGGCTATGACTGAAGACAGAACCTCAAACACAGATTAGCTCACACAAATGAATACTGGACTGGAAATCACTATGGGCTTTCAATAACCAATTTACAAGGCTGCTTCTTTTTTTTCCTGAACCCCGAATGCCTGTCCAAGACGCCAAGTTTTGCTTTTACTTGGAGTATGATGGAGTCTGCATGATGCTTCTGAACAAGTACAAAGCACAAAAGGTTAAAGCAATTTTTCCCTGCATACCACATACCTATAGGTACTGTTGTGTCAGTGCTTAAACTGGTGCCTATTAAGAAATCACCAATAAGTGCCGGTCTTTCATACACCCAGGATGGAAATATTGGGATGGGCTGCCCAGAATTCTTCTTGTTTTGCTTATCTCGGAGCATTTTTCGTGTAACCTCAAGAGGCTGTAGGCAATACATAAATAAATAAGGAAAGAGAAAGAAAGAGAGGAAAACATTTTCAGAAACCCAAACTGAAATTTTGTATTTTTTATAGAAAATACTGTAAATTGATCACTTAAGAATAGCAAGTGGAAGAGATGTGATCTGCTATTACCACCCAGTCTATTGGTCTCAGTGCTGCAGAGCTCCCTGGGTTTTACGTAGCTGTTCTTCCTTCCAAAGGCTCCCTGCAGCACAGCCCGGGTGCCAGGGAGGAAGGCAACAAGGGGCTTTACACCAAATGCAGAGCAAACCACCAGCGAGGAGAAGTGGAACGAGCTGGAGTGGCCACGAGAAGCCAAAGGGGTGACCCAGGAACAACCCGTTTCTACGGAAAGAGCAAATGCCAAGGTGGTGGATGGAGCCCAACTTCCATCAGCAGTGACAAGTGATACAAGAGGCAATAGACACAAGCAGCACTTATTTCTTCCGTGAGCAGATCTGCACACAAATCGTAAAAGATTTTTTTTCCTCCTTCTCACCTTTAACTGGAATCATTTTGTTTCATAGAATCATAGAATGCTTCACACACAAACAGCTAAGCAGAGGGAACAGCTACATTCACTCCGGGAGTGATGGCATGATGTTTTTTACCCACGTATCAGAGAGCAGAAATTTTATTGAGAAAGGGGAGAAGCCGTAATGAGTGCTGAGCTCCTGAGCAAGCACAGCTGCAGGCAGCAGAGAAAACGTCAGGGCAGCTTAAAACTGTCAGCTGAAAGGGAAGACTTGGCTTGCCCCAATTCACTTAGATAGAAAAGGCTGCTCTCATTTTGAACAAATATTTAACACAAAGAAAAAAAAAAAAAGGAATCTGAGAGTCAGTTTAGATTATCTCTGTAGACAGGAACACTTAAAACTGCACAGGAGGATAAAAGTTAAGAACAGAGCTACATATATGAAGAGCAGGGAGAGATCTTGTGCCCAGGGCTAGGGAGGAGTTACCTGCTGCACGCTGGAGCTGGCCGTGACGCTGCCCAGCTGCTTGCGCAGCTCCTCCAGCTCCTGCAGAGATATCTTGGAAGCGGATGAGGGAATGGAAAAACTGGCGCTGCCACTGGCTGCCGCGTTCGCTGCGAGTTCTGCCCTTTCTTTGGCATTTTGTTGCAAATACTGAAGTGTCTGCACAGACGTGGAAAAAGAAGAGATTTTGTGAACACCGGTCAGCACAAACTAAAGGCAAAAGACAGAAGACCCTAAAGATGGTGGCACTAACCCAGACCAAAGCCACTTCTGTCCCAGTGTCCTGTGTCTTACAGTGCCTCAAAACGACATAGCTCAGTAGCTTCCCTTTGCATTTAGGGCCCTTCAAATTTTGTACCATAAATCTGTCCACGTATTTTCTGAACATGAAACTTCAGAAGCCACAGTGCCCTGTGCCAAGGAGGACACCGTACACATTACACAGAATAATTCCTGTTCTCTGTTGTCAACACTAACTCCCAATTTCATTTATGGCATTAAATATTGATGTGAGCGTTAAATTCGCTGTGACAGTGCACATTTTTTCTTCATAAAGGACAAAGACAGAAACCCCAAAACGACGTACCAGCAAACGGGCTCCACTGTGGTGGTGCTTACAGGGCCCAGCTAGTTACTTCTTACACGTCACCTCCACCTAATTTTCTTGATGCCAGTTCCATTATTTCCCCACCTTTCCTAAGCCAAAGTATCTGTCAATTATCTGCTATACAGAATTTCCCTCCCAGCCTCACAAGCTGAAACCAAAGGATTAACCTGGATGTCTTGGTGAAACCTCAGTTGTATAATTCACTCCAGTACTTCAATTACAACTCCTTGTCTTCTGTTGATTTCAGTGTGTTTCCCTGAATGTCATCATCAAAACATGTGTCATACTGAAAGCCACTGCACCACCACTACAACTGAATACCTAGAGCAGATTCATCTAACGCAGAAACAAACCTCCTTGTCTTCTGTGAGCTTTGACAGTAGATACACCAAGGAATCTAGATGTCTTGTGTTTTTAGACTTCAGCTCATCATACTTCTTTAAAAAGTCCTCGGGAGTTCGAGAAAACTCTGCTATTTTAACCTGTAAGACACCATATTCAAATTAAATGTTTAACATACAATATTATCACATCATTCTGTCAAGGAAGGTAACAAATCACACGCTGCTGCTGCTGTGGTCTAAATACTCCGGGGAATAGGTTTTGGTCTGAACAAGGTACCACTTGTTACTTTATACATATTTTGGTTTATTCCTCTAAACCTTGGCCCTCCTAATCGAAACTGAAGCAACCACGGTAGGCGGATTATAACGCCACGTTTAAGCCACATCGCTTGCCAAGAGAAATCATGCTGAGGATCATTTATCTTGAATTCCTCTTCGGAGGGGACTGCACTCTGAGAGCCAACGCAATGCAATTCCCATCGAGGAGGGAAGAGGACGTGAGCCGCTTTAGGAGTCACAGAGGTTGTAAGGGACCTCTGGAGACCATGCGGTCCAACCCCCTGCGCAAGCAGGGTCACCTGGGGCAGGTTGCACAGTACCGCATCTAGCTGGGTTTGGAATATCTCCGGAGAAGGAGACTCCAAAGCCTCTCCGGACAAGCTGTGTGAGTGCTCTGCCACCCCCGGGCAAGAAGCTTTTCCTCCAGTTACACAGAATCACAAAGTCACAAAGAATCCGGGAATGGCTGAGGTTGGCAGGCACCTGTAGACATCACCTAGCCCAAGCCCCTGCTCCAGCAGGGCCACCCAGAGCACGGGGCACAGGGAGGCGCCCGGGCGGGTTGGGAAGATCTGAATTCCGACACAACCCGCCGTGCTCCGAGCTGTGGCCGCTGCTCCTGCCCCTGGTCACCTCTGCAGCTCTACGCCCGGCCCCGCCGGCCCTGGGG